AGGAGGCAGAGAAAAGAAGGAATGAAGGAGGAGAAGGGAGGGAGGGAGGGAGGGAGGGAGGGAGGGAGGAAGGAAGGAAGGAAGGAAGGAAGGAAGGAAGGAAGGAAGGAAGGAAGGAAGGAAGGAAGGAAGGAAAAATTAAAAAGCCAGACATTGAAGAAATAGAGTGGTACAAGTGATTAGACATTGAAAATTACTTCATTTGTCCATCTGTCTGCTTGTTTTTCTGTTTCCCACAGTTCCTTTGTGCACTACCAAGAAGAGATGGTTATGAGTTCTTTGTAGGACAGTGGACGGGTACTGAACTCCACTTCACTGCTCTTATAAATATTCAGGTAGGTCACGTATGCCCTACATAACACAGGAGGCACTAGAAGCCTTCCCAGGGCTGGGGTACAGTATCTTCTGACTTCAGCAGTACTTGCTGTGCACTGATGAGCTGTCATATGTTGACAAGTTAGGCTAGTTTTCTAGGCCTCACTTAATACCAGAAATTTGAAGTCCGTATACTTTTCTCCCACTTCACTGTTGTCTTTTGTCTTCTCCCTAGAACTCTGTGGCATCTCTTGCATGTGCATACTGAATAGACATGGATGAGTTAAAATGTTATCTTCTTAACCCAGATGTAAACCCTTTGAGGAAGGCTCTATGTCTTACCTGTGTTTTATTAACTACACTGTTAGGTGAATAGTTTTCATTTCATAAATATTAGTTTATTTGCTTTCTTTTCTTTTTTTTATTCCCAAATTGCTTATTACATTTAAAAAAATAAGCTCAAAATATACTTAAAGCTCTTTCAAAAAGAAGTCAGTATTTTAGTTCACAGTAACTAGGATTGACATTCTATATTTGGAGTTCACAGCTGGTAAAAAAAAATCATATATTGTTTTGACTTTAGCGTTGAGGCAGATGGCACAAAATAGAATAAAGAGAAATTTTTACATTTTTATCTGATAAATTGTTGAGTATATACTGTGTTAATATTTGATAGCTATTATACAATGTGTTGGAAGAGGCTGCTTGTTCGTTTCCCAGCTGCTCACAGCTCAGACCCGAAATAATTACACGGAAACTGTATTAATTAAATCACTGCTTGGCCCTTTAGCTCTAGCTTCTCATTGACTAACTCTTACATATCAATTTAACCCATTTCTATTCATCTGTGTATTGCCATGAGGCTGGGGCTTACCAGGTAAAGTTCCAGCATCTGTGTCCAATGGGGTACATAGCTTCTCTCTGACTCTGACTCTTTTCTCCCAGCATTCAGTTTAGTTTTCCCTGCCTACTTTAGTTCTGCTCTATCAACAGTTTCTTTTTTCACTGATGGTATTCACAGCATACAGAGGAGAATCCCATATCACCTCCCTTTTCTGTTTAAATGAAAAAGGAAGGTTTTAACTTTAACATAGTAAAATTACATATAATAACAGGTATCAAGCAAGAATTATAGTTACAATATTTATTTCTACTCATCTTTTATCATAGCTAAGAAAAATTATAACTATCAATTCTTCAACTTCATCAAAGACCACAGAAGGATATAATATTACCTAAGTAAACAGGACATGCATTGTAAGCAACTTCCAAAACTCTAGAAATGACAGAGACATCTCACTGCCTGGACAGTCACCCAAAGTTCTTCCGTACCATTGGGGCATCCATCTTCAGTCTACAGGCCCATAGTATCCAGCAAACTTTTCCACAAAGCAGGACATTTCAAAGACAGTTCTGCCTATATTGGTAGTTTGTCAGTCACATTTTTCTGTGTCCTGCAGAATATGTAGCAGACTCTTTCATGAAGCAGGAACCCTGAAGGATGGTATCACCTTTAGGCAAGTTCAACAGTCATTTCTCTGCAGGTCCTGCATGTCCAGGCAAGAGTAGTTTCTTGCCCAAATGGCTAACCAACTCAAATAGAAGCCTCTTCGATGCCTATCTTCCTCTTGACGTAGATTGGTGTTACCAGGAGCAGATGTGTCTTATTGCCATGAAAAGTCCTAAATTCTTAAACATTTTAAGTGTCATATTCTCTAGTCTTTGAAAGGTTTGAAGAATTCTTATCCATCTGCAATACATCTCTGTACATCTAGAAAATCTAACTAGCATGACTACAGCTTGACTATTATAGATGACTGACTATTAACCTATATTTCTTAATTATACATTATATTTTTTAATGAGCTGTATAAACACAATACCTTTTTAAATGAGCTGTACAAACATAATACCTTAATCAAGAGCAGAAATATGTATATATACATATACATATATATATAATATATATACACAGTATAACAAAATTGATCTTAAATTTGTATCAGTAAACCAAAATCCATACCAATGCAAATCTTTATTGCATATTAAGCATATAGCAAATATTGTTTAAGTATTTATAAACAATATTTGGGAATTTAGGCGTAGTTCTCTAGACTACTTCCTGCTGATTGGGGGCATTGTTAATCAGGTCTTTCATGGTATATCCTGTGTGCTAGTTTCATCTCAGTCAGCAGTTGGGCAAAGTAATTTTTTGGGGGTGTTCACAGAAACTTTTCAGGGTGTCTTGGTCCATCAAACCATATTAGACTAGAAGCAATCCACAGGTTCTCATCTTCTGTGGAAACAAAAGAAGAACCTCTTTTCTAAAGCAACATATCCTTAGACCCAAATTTTGAAGACAAGATACCTTTAAAGTATATATATTGGTTAGTTAGCATCTTCACAGTCAAAAAATTCAAAGAAAACACAATAATATACATAATCCAGACTCTCTGCATATTCTCCATCTTTACGTGGCTTATTTGTTTTAAATCTATTACTTTTTCGTATTTATTTTATTATATTTACTTTACTCCTTTAATCTATGACTGTCTGTGCTCTTTCTCTTTAAAGACTTTACCTCTTTTTAAAACCATTTACTTCTTTTTATAACTGTCTATATGCTTTTTGTTTTCTCTCCCAAGCCTACGTACATCCAACATTTTACTTGTCATTTAATATTCTCAAATGAATAGATTACTGTTATTATTTTTATTTATAGAGAAGAGAGTGAACTTAGGGAAGTTAATAAGCTACATTGAGTCCAGGTTGTCTGACTCCAAAGTCTATAAACTTAAATATTTACCATTGTCTTGAAAACTCTGCTAGGTCCTGTAGATCTATGAGAAAGGGAAGGGAGGGATGGAGGGAGGAGTTTATAGAGAAATATAGATAAGAGAAAGCCAATACAGAGTAGATGTTAACTCTAAAATGGGATTGGAAAGGGATACAGAAGGATCCTCTAATTGTATCTCTGTCCTTGTTTGCTTTCTGTTGCTGTGATAAAATACCATTCTAGAAACAACTCATGGAAGAGAGGGTTTATTTAGGCGTACAGTTCCAGAGGGAGACTCCACAGTGGATGGGGAGGCATGATAGCAAGTGGTAAGAGCCAAAAGCTGAGATCACTCTTCATCCACAGACATAAAGTGCAGAGCAAACTGGAAATAGGTGAAGCTATAAACTCTCACGGCCTCCCTCTGCCTCCAAGATGTTCTTCCTCCAGCAAGGCTCTACCTCCTCAAGGTTCCATAACTTTCCCCAAATAGTGCCACCAACTGCAGAGCAAGCCTTGAGGAGACATTTTCATTTAAACTACCAGTCTCTAATGCTTTCTTTCTTACATGGATTGAGAAGTGTATGTCTGTCTATGATATTATCATTTGTATTTTATAATAAACTATTAGTATATTGTATAGTATACTACTGTATATTGTATATTAGCATGTTGTGTAGTATCCTACTATCTTATAAGTAGAATTATCAGTATATTAGAAGCATGTATGAGGGAACCAAGAGGATGAACTATTAAGATTGCCTTAGCAATAGTTAGGTACAATAATTAAAGGATGCTTGCTGAAGCTTCAGAGATGAAGCCCTGGGAGCTGTTTTCTGTCATTCTACATGAAGGCGTTGGCTTTAAATTCAGCTTCTCTTCCTAGACTAGACTTAAAATCTGGTGACCTCACTGATCATTCTTCATGAAGTTACACAATTCCTATTTTTTTGTCTCCTTCCTGCCACAACCAGATAATATTTTGAAGCCACACAGCAGAAATCTGGCTCATACACAGACTCTACAGTGCTTTGCTATAGCGTAAAAGAGCTCCGTTTTCAGAGCCACCACAGGGAGTAGATGAAATGCACTAGTCCATAGAAGTGGCAATTACACAGGCACATCGCTTTCTTTAGAACTTGACTTGGTAGCTGCCTGTACCATTTTGTTTTTAAATGTATGACCACAATGAAGGATTCACTGCCTTCGTAAACATTCTCTGGGAAAAAAGCCAGATCTTTTCCAATTGAAGACACAAATAACACCGTGAAAACTGTCAGTTCACCAGGCCTTTGCAGGCCTGACCTTGCCCATACATACCAGTCCTCTAATTCACTAGCTACCCAGAGGGCTATTAAGAGCTAGAATTTCCTCCAGACTCTGTTGCTTTGAAACTGCAGTTTGTTGTGGTGGTACCTTATTGAGCTTTGATAAGTGTTTCTCCGTGCAGACCCGAGGGGATGCAGCAGCCAGCCAGCTGATTTTATATCACTATCCTGAACTTAAGGAAGAAAAGGGCATAGTGCTGATGACAGCTGAAATGGATTCCACATTTCTGGTAAGAATCTACATTTGTCTCTTTGGGTTTACCTCGTAGTTCTGCAGGTGTTAACTCTTGTCAATGCCTCAGGTCTAGATTAGAGAAAGATACCTTTGTGTATTTTGTTTCTCATGGTTGAAAATAATTTTGTCTTGCTTGTATATATTTAAGTTGAAGTACAGTTAGCTACAGATAAATGGATGGTTTCCTTTGTCGGTGCTAGTTTGTTTCATTTTACTTTTTAAGTGTGTGTGTGTGTGTACGCATACATTGTGGGTATGGGGCAAATGCTAAGTGCATGTATGAAAGTCAAAAAACCAATTTCTGGAAGCCTGTTTACTCCTTCCACCATCTAGGTTCCAGGGGTCAAACTCAGGTCATCAAACTTGCAGCAAGCACCTTAACCCACTGAACTACCTCACTGGCCCTGGAAATAGGTTGTTTTATTTTATTTGAGACAGGGACTCACTATGTAGCCCTGGCTGTCCTGGATCTCACTAAGCAGATGAGGCTGGCCTCAGAATCACAGAGACCTGCCTGCCTCTGCCTGCTGAGTGCTGGGCTAGAGGCTGATGGTGAAAATAGTTTCACATCCTCATTTGATCACAAATTTTCCCTGCGTTAAATTCTTTTGAAGCTAAATTTTCATTTAAACTGATATGAGGTCATTTATAGTCATCATTCTCATGTAATACAGAATACTATATATTTTATTAAGGAAGTATGAATGTGTTTGATTATGGGGCATAATGTAGTTACATATTATCTTCAACTATGGCTTTTTTAAATCCAGTAATGCCAAAACCAAGACACATCTGGCCCTGGAGATTTCAAACAAGGTTATGGTCATATAGCTGACTTCTGAAATGTAAGATGAGTTCAAAATCTAGAGTAATAGTTGTGTCTTTTTCTTCCTCTACCTTGTTCATGGGAACATTCACCATTGGATTTCCTTTTCTCCTTTTCCATTCCCAGTTGTGTTGCTAGGGAGACTATCAACCACATACCCATAACTAATGATGCCCATTGTGTTTCCCTGTGCATCTAGGTACCAGAGACATTTGTCTGACAGAGACTGTTTAGAATGCCCCCAGAGCCTAAAATGTTTACAGAAAGTGTTTATAAACCATAGTCTAGGGAGATGGAAAAGAGAATGTGCGTAAATACATGCACAGAGAGGATGTCGGATTTAACTGGTCAGCCATGTGGTGTAATGATGTAATTGAGAGGCAAAGAAGCTTAGAATGAATACAAAAAGATGCTTGCTTACACTCATTAACCAGAGAATAAGGCTGGATAAAGGAGAAGAGAAGACAGACACCCTAAGAATTGTGGACTTCAGCTGCAGGCTGTTAGAGTTTGCAGTGAACTAGGAAGGTAAAAATAATAGACAGTGCAAATGTTTCAGACTGAGATTTAGGGAGGTTATCATTGTTGATGGCAAAGAAACAGAAATAGGACATACAGACTGTTCTATATTTTTTGGTCTTTAGCAAAACACAGTGTCTAACCATATGTCAGTGAACTCTAGAGGTCAGAGGAAAGAAACTTTTTCTTGGTTCACTCTGGTAGGCTCAAACTGATGCAGTTTTAGCATCATTAAGATTTTGGAGGGTGGGAGTTTTCTTTTTTAGCTTTTTTTTTTCTGGCTTTATAACATTTGACAACATGTCAGACAATATTCATTTGCCTTGTATAAACCACATTGACTATGAGATCCCTGTGCACTTGGCTCAGCAGATAAAGGCACCCATCACCAAGCCTAATGACCTGAGTTCAGTCCCCCAGGACCCACGTGGTAGAAGAAAAGAACTAACTCTTGGAACTTGTTCCTGACCTTCACTGGATAAACCATGGCATACCTACTAATATATACACATAATAAAATCAAAGATTTACCATATTATTTTTAATTATGTGTGTATATATGGGTCTGAGTATGAGTATGTGCAAGTGCCCTCATTGGATATCCTTAGAGCTAGAATTATCCACTCAGCATGGATACTAGAAATTGAACTCAAGTCCTCTGCAAAAGTAATACATGCTCTTAGCCACCAAGCCACCTCACCAGCCCCAATTTAAAAAATAGAGGTTTAACTGAATGCTTTATAGGAAGAAGTGCAGCATACAGAGACAAGAAGCACAGCCTGTGGTATTTATAAATTCATCTGCATCGTTGTTATGTGAACCCACAAGAGTCCGTTAAAGGTCTCAATAATAGCATTATCCCATAGCACATCATTCTACAGCTAGGCTTAGCATACTTTTCTTCTTCCAGTGCTAAGGCAAGTGTCCTACCACTGAGTTAAGTTCACATTCACATAGCATACTTTAGGCAGTCATTTTTCAAGTGATTTTTTTTCCACGTTTGAGTAATAATAGATAAATATTTCTGGCCAGCTATAAGTACAGAATATGTAGAAAACAATAGTTACTTCAGTTCATTGTTTTCCTTTCATTCTATTTACTGTTATTATACGTGTATACACGTGTGTGATAGAGGTTACAACCACATCACATGTGTGTGGAGATCAGAGGGCAGCTCTTATTATTGCATGTGTATACACATGTATGATGGAGAGAGGTTACACTACAGCACGTGTGTGAAGATTGGAGGACAGCTCCTATTATTGTACGTGTATATATGTGTATGGTGGAGAGAGGTTACAACCACATCACGTGTGTGGGGATCGGAGGACAGCTCTGTGGAGTCAGTTTCTTCCCTCCATCTTTATTTGGGCTCCAGGGATCGAGCTCAGGTCCGAGGCAAGGCCCTTTACCAGCCCTCAACCAGTTCTTCCATGAGGTTCCACGGATGCTGCCCATGCATTCTCCTATATATTCACCTGTCATGTAATATGTTCCCCATTTCCTGATAGTGCACTTTCTGAACCTTGGAACTGGTTATAAATGGTTGTATAACAAAGAGCCCCACAGTTTCTATGGGACAAGAACTCAGAAGCAGCTTACATGGGTGATCCTGCTCAATCTAATGAGGTTGCTGCCAGGATGTTGGTAGGAATGCAGTCATCTGAAGATTGACTGGGATTAAGGGTCCATTTTTTTCCTGAACACATTGGCTTTTCTGCGGGCCTACTTGAATGTCGTTTTAATTCGATAACTTTCCCCAGACAAGTGATTCAAGACATATTCTTTAATGATTCAGTTGTTAGAAGCAACTCGTTAAGTATAGCCTCACACTCAGAATGGAGGTTGGACTCTCCAAAGGAGGTATATGTACCAAAGTGATACATACACAAGTATGTATATGACTCTGTAGCTCAAGTTCATTGGTGAAAAAGAATGGTGGCCATACAAGCCTTATGAACTCAAAGCCCCTGGTGTCCCCCAGTATTATTGCTGGTCCCTGTACCACACCTCTCAAAATGTGGACATTTTATAACCATCACAACTGGCTTTGATACTGTGTTCCTGACTGGGGTACCATCAATAATAGGTTTTATTCAAGGGTATCTAATTAGCCAGAAACTTAGTCCTTACAAACTGATTCTTAGAGCTGGGTAGCTTTTTCTCCTCTTGCTCAGATGGATGTAATAGCTATTTAAGAATTAAATAAAACGAGAAACTGTGAACATATGAACTAACTTACCTAGCAAACATCATGTCACTATGTACAGGAAAATACAAACAAGCCTCGATGTCTGTATCTTTGAGGAATTTAAATTAGAGAGTACAGACCAAAAGTGACAAGTAAGAAAAGGGATGACAGGTGTACAAAATGCCTTGCTTACATGAGGAAGGAACGTCTAGCCGAGACTTGAGAAGTCAGGGAGTCAGATAAGCTAAGAACAGCGCCTCCACCACGAACTCGGGCACAGGGCTTTGGTCCTCTGCAGGAAGGTGCCTCACTCCTCTCATTGCCTTGCAGAATGTTGCTGAGGCGCAGTGCATCGCCAATCAGGTTCAACTCTTCTATGCCACTGATCGGAAGGAGATCTTTGGGCTAGTAGAAACCTTTAACTTCAGACCAAATGAGTTCAAATATATGTCTGTCATCGCTGAATTGGAGCAAAGTGGACTTGGAGCAGAACTGAAATGTGCCCAGAACCAGGATAAGACTTAGAGATATCTGGATTGACCCTTCGCAGAGTTGACTCAGTCCTGGATAGCCTAAAGTCCACCCAAACCCTTGACCTCCAGAGCTCAACGCAACACGCAGTCTGTAAAGAGTTACCATGTATGCTACTACAAGAAGAGATTATGGGCATGAGCTCTAACACTTGATATTCAGAACGAAGGTATACAAATACTTTGATTAATTACCTCTCACTCTGACGGTTCCTCTTATGTGTTTCTGGGCATTTAAACAAGAAATATTCAGGGATCTGCAAGACTATTGACTGGTTTTTATTCAGTGTAACAGTGAAGTTGCATTCTGGCCATTTTGACTTCATAGCTCCCAGTTCTTTGTCTTTCTAAACCTGTAGCAATAAGCTTGAGGATCTTAAGAGATGTCGGCTTTATGCATTCTTTCCATGCACCAGTGAACTGGCTAAAAACAACCCAAGAATCCTGGCCAGATTCAACATAACTTACTATTCTCCTCAAAATAAAGACTTCTAGCTGCCGCTCCAGAGTTGCCTTCTGTGTAACTCAGCGATTGCAGGTACAAGTGCCTGCAATAATAAACAAATACAATGCCTGCACACTGTTAAACCGTCGCTTTTGGCCCTACTCCCTGAACTCTGCCTGTGAGAAGCTAATGAATCAGTTCAGTGTAAATAAAACCTTTTTAGAAAATCATTCCAAATTTGCATGATTTGAAAAGTTATATGAAAATGTGGTAGAGCACATGTTCCCAGACTGAGTGTGGAGAAAGTAGTAGAAAGTCTGGTTTTCAGTCTTTGCTCACAGGATAGTGGAAACTCAGCTGTGTGCTGTTGGTGGCATCAGCTGTGGGCTAATTTTATCAGAACTCTTCTTGGGGCTCAGTGATTTTTTTTTTTTTTTTTTTTTTTTGGTTTTTCGAGACAGGGTTTCTCTGTGGTTTTGGAGCCTGTCCTGGAACTAGCTCTTGTAGACCAGGCTGGTCTCGAACTCACAAAGATCCGCCTGCCTCTGCCTCCCAAGTGCTGGGATTAAAGACATGCGCCACCACCGCCCGGCTCAGTGATTTCTTGAAATGCCACAAATAAGCAAGTTATTCTCCACCAGAAGTACATGTCTCTCTCTAGCTCCAGGTTCACTGGTGAAAAAGAATGGTGGGTCCGTACCAGCCTTATGAACTCAGCCTCAGGTGTCTCCCAGTGTAGCCGGTCCCTTTACCACACCTCATCTTCTCTAATGTGTTCCACTTTAATTGACCTCAGTCTGATGTTGTTAGATGCCACCAAACACGGTGAATAGAAAGTCAAGTAGTAGTTTCAGTTTATGTCTGTATATTCTTCATTACAGATTTTTTTATGGTAGGCTTCTCAAAGCTTTTTAAGTAGGTATGGTGGTTTGAATAAGAATGGCTCCCATAGGCTCATATATTTGAATGCTTAGTCACCAAGGAAGGAGTAGAACCATTTGAAAGGATTAGAAAGGTTAAGAGGTGTGGCTTTGGAGGAAGAGGGAGGGGCTTTGAGGTTAAAAGCCTGTGCCAGGCCCAGAGTGTGTCTCTCTCCCTCTTCCTCTCTCCCTCCCTCCCAGCATGCAGGTCAGGATGTAGCTCTCAGCTATTTCTCCAGTATCATTCCTGCCTGCTACCATGCTCTCTGCTGTGATGATAATGGACTGAGCCTCTGAAGCTATAAGCAAGCCCCAATTAAATGCTTTCTGTTATGAAATATGCCTTGTCATGGTGTCTCTTCACAACAGTAAAATGTAACTAAGACAGTAGGGTTGGCCATCCCATTATTTTCTGGATGGAGAAACAGATAGTGTTTCTTTAACCTGGAGGAGCTATGCTGTGCTTTCAGTCTCTCTGAAGGTTGAGTGTTTTCTGATGCAGCTTCTAGACCTGCCATGGTCCCAATAGTCCACATTTTAAGAACTTGAATGCTATCAACTCTGCAGTTTTCCTTAAATGCCTTCCACGCTTCTGGGTGATAAAAGTCTGGAGACGCGGCCTTGGGTGGGGCTGCTTTTGTGGGTATCCAGCTATGTTTGTTTTTCTCTAGATCGGCCCAGTTCTTAATCATAGAACATTTTCATGACACCACTACTAGCGGGTAAAAAAAAAAAAAAATGATGATGATGATAAAAAAAGTAAAGAACTAGCTGTTCATGTCATAGCTCCTCCCAGCTTTACCCTCAACCCCATCTTGCCAAAGAAGGATGCCATCTGACTGTTGTTAATATTTATTTTACCAAAGAGATCTAACAGATAAATGAAAACCGTAGCAGTTAGTCTGTAAATGCATTCCCTGATTCCAGCATACTGTTTCAAAGGTGGGCTTTGGAGCTCATTGAATTGGGTTCACATAGCAGCGTTACTTTTCTTAGCTTGTTAATGATAAATTACTTAAACTCTAATTCTTACCTTTCTTCTGAACATGGGGACAATATCTACCTCATTGAATTATTTTGAGACTTCGGTAAGCTTCTATATAGACTACAATAGAATTCAGTACATGCTGGATCCCTTCTTCTTTAGTTCTTCATTAAAGACCAACACAGGGGCTCGGAATAGCTCAATGGTGGAACTATGTTTCTAGCATGTATCAGGCCCTGCGTTTGGTTCCCAGCACCAGACAGGAAGAAAGTTAAGTCAGCATTTCAAATGCAGAGATCACAACAAATTCTATCTCACTGGTTCCCAACTTGAGATACAGTGGAATCACTTAAGAGCACTTAAAGATGCAATTCCTGGGTGCTGGCCGGCTGACTGAAGTATGCAGAAAGCCCTGACAACCTACATTTTAGTATGTATGTATTCTAGGTAATTCTGATGTGGGTAATTCGTGAGCTTTTGTGAGCCATCGCCTTATCTCTTATGAAAATGTCCACTAGGCGGTCTTTTCTCACCTACAGACATTCACAAAGGATTTAGATTCCTCTGCTCGCTGTCTTTCTAGTAGTACTCTAGTTACATTGCATTATATTTATTTTTGTGTGTTTACCCCACTAGACTGTGAGCTCCTTGAGGGCCAGGATTTATCTTTATTCTCATTGCCAAGGACATGACATGAACCACAAAAGAAACTCAACTGTTGAACAAATAAATGATACAGATTTTAGCCATAAACTCTTATTGATGTATGTGTTTCTCTATTTGAATCATGTAATGTTGTGGTACCCCACAGGTTCCTGTGTTTGAACACTTGGTCCACAGTTGCCCACAGAGCACCTACTGCTGGGTTCAGTGCTGCACATAGGAGGCTGAGGAGGATATGACCCCTGCTCTCGGGCTGTGTATCTGTCACCTGTATCTTGCCTCTGATTCTGAGCCTTATCTAGAACCTGCTTTGCTTTGTTCTCAGAATAGTCATACTTCTCTTCCAACTCATTTAGAAGGTAGAGCTATTCTACACAAGAGTGACCTTTTGTTCAGTCTGGGAGAAGAGGCACAGATGCCAACTCCCCCAGGCACTTGATAAAGCAGTTACACTTACCAAGCACCTGTTTACATACTGAGCACTTAAAGTGAGAATACAGCAGTGGACAGGACAAATAGCACCTCTGCTCTCAGTAGCTTATATTCCCATAACAAAGACAAGTAAACTAGCAAAATTATCTCAACTCTGATGTTGGTTGTTTACTTTTTGGCTCTTTACTTTTTTTGTGGGGCCCTCCACCCAGCTCCCAAAACACACACAGAGTCTTATTCTTACTGATGAATACCTGGCCTTAGGTTGGCTTGTTTTTAACCAGCTTTTCTTAACTTAAATCATCCTGTCTACATTTTGCCTCTGGGCTTTTACCTTTCTCTATTTCTTCTTCCGTTTCTGTCTGTGTAGCTGGGTGGATAACTCCTTTCTTTGTTCCTTGATCCTTTCTTCCCAGATTTTCCCTATTTATTCTCTCTGCCTGCCAGCCCTACCTATCCTTTCTTCTGCCTTGCTATTGACCTTTCAGCTCTTTATTCGACAAATCAGGTATTTTAGACAGGCAGAGTAACACAGTTTCACAGAGTTAAACAAATGCAACATAAAAGAATGCAACACATCTTTGCATCATTAAACAAATGTTCCACAGCATAAACAAATGTAACATATCTTAAAATAATATTCTACAACACGACTCAAATACCAGCAACTATAAAACAAAGTGTAATGTAACTGTTGAGTGAAGGCAATGACTTACTAGCCAGGAGAGCCATCTTTGCAGAGGTCACTGTGGGGTATGTAAGTGGGAGAGAGAGTGCCAGGTAAAGTGAAGCAGGGAGAGAGATCCACTGCCCACTCTCTTTGTACTCTCCTGCCCTCCTCCACCCCCAGCTCAGAAGAGAGCAACCTCCAATCACCTCACACCCCAGCCACAGCTGTAAGCTCAGGTCTCCAGAAGGCAGGGGTAATAGCAGAGCCAGTCCAAAGAAACTTGTCTGCCAACTCTCCTGGGGATGAAAGAACAATGTGAGTGTTTTGAAGGGCACCCTGATCTAACCACAGAGAACCCTTCTGGCACACTGCTTTATGCTCATGGAGCATTTGGTCCTCTCCATTCTGCTCGTATAACAGGATGGGGGCATTTTTACTCCTGTCTGCTAACAGACTTCAGGCAAAGGGGAGAGGTGACTTGAGGCACCTGCCTGCATCAAGAGCCATGCCAAGAAAAGAAGTGATTGTCCATGTTCTAGACGTACGGCTTCCCTTTGTCACATCCATTCACACAGGGTCACTTCAGGCTGTTTGGGCCAGACGAACTGAGATGTAGAGGCCCACCTATCCTTGAGTCAAAAAGAAAAAGAAAAGAAAGAGAGAGCCAGGATATCTATAAGAAAGAAGGTTTCCAAACAAACAAGCCTCCTAGGATTCAATGAGCATTAAGGACAAAGTTCCTTTCTTTGGATCATCTCACAGGGACTTTGAGATCTGGGGCCTTCTGACTCTCATCTCTTGCTGGGCTTCTTAGCTACAGCCATTTTATTGACAGTGCTCCAACTTCCTACCTCTGTTCTGGTGTTTTTGACTATGTTTGTCTGATTGAAATGCCTATACCCATTTTATGAAGTTATTTCCTATCTTTCAGACTTCCATTAATGCATCTCAGCCTTCTTTTCCCAAGTCCTGCCGTCCCCACATTACCCCTGCATGGGTTATATGCTCTGCTTCCTCAATATTCCATGCTCAGCCTTTACAACGATGACGCCCTTTAGCGGCAGAATTCTATTCCTGTGTTCCAGCATGAAATCTTACCGAAAGATAGGAGGTCCTGAGGAGTCTGAATAAATTCCCCAGTGGCCACTAAACTCAAACCCTCCGGAGTCTATAAGCATCCCCGAGGTCCAGCCCTGACAAACATGGTGTTTGTGTCCAGTTTCAGTCAATGGCTATTTTGCTTACTCTAGAAGCTACATGTAGAAAACAAAGGCAAGGCGCTGCCATGAGAAGCAGCCAAGTCAGCTGGGCAGTGGTGGTGCATGCCTTTGATCCCAGCACTTGGGAAACAGAGGCAGGCAGATCTAGCCTGGTCTACAAGAACTAGTTCCAGGACAGGCTCCAAAGCTACAGAGAAACCCTGTCTCGAAAAACAAACAAACAAAAAGCATGTTGAGAATTTTGGGAGTCTTGACTGGACTCCGAAACCGGAGGCTAGGAAGAAAGAAAAGAAAGCAGGTTAAACTCAGGCCAGATCACACAGATTGGGGTAATTAATGATTTAGCACTCACTAGTCACAGCCTGCTGAACTCAGTGCCCACACATAGGAAGACAGCAAGAGGGTACGGAGTAAGATGCAGCAAGGCCTACAGCCAGCAAGCTAACATCTGGATCAGGAGCTAGTCAACACCTGGAACTTGGGGCCAAAGTATATAAGCTTGTGTCATTATTTTATACATGGCTTATCTGAGAATTATTTTTGTTTGCAAAAAAAAAATAATTTATGTGTAGGTATGTGCACCCCGCCCCTCAAAAGTTATAGCTTTTAGAGTAACCTGTTTGTGTGTCAAGTTGATGGTTGCTTTTTTGTTTTGTTTTGTTTTCTGAGACAGGGTCTCTCACCACAAACCCCAGGCTGGCCTTGTACTCACAGAGATCCTCCTGCCTTTGCCTTAGTGCTGGGACTAAAGGCGTGTGCCACCACACCTAGCTTTTTGACGGTTGCTTTTAATGTCACCTTGCTACAAATTAGAATCAGCTGAGAAGCTTCACCAGAAGAATTGTCCTGACTGCCTCCATTAATAGGGGAAGACCCCATCAGCTGTGTAAGCTGCCTTCCGATAGCAGGCCAGATGTTGAAAGGGGGACATGGGCAGAAGGACGAGGCTCTTGCGAGCTTGGCCTGCCCTCTCACTGTCAAATTGATTAGCTCTTTTGATGCTGCTGCTGCTCCCTTTCCTGAAATCTTCAAGAATCACCATTCCCAGGCTCATCATTAACTAAGATCCATTGGCTTTCCAGGACCCTCCAGGTTCTCTGTGCTAGGCTGTGGCTGCTGAGGCACCCAGCCCCAAGAGACTGAGCAATGCTGGGTTGTTGAAAAGCCACTATGGGACCCAACCTCTGGGTCCAAGCAACAGCCTCTATGATGGGGCACTATTAGGAGTTATTTGGGCAGCACAAACTGGATTTGATGGGTTAAGAAAGGGAGGACACAATGCGGAGTGAGTAGGAAGGGAGAGGTGGATCTGGGAGGAGTTGAGGGAGGGCTTGAATATGATCAAAATATGCAGTACACATTTTTCAAAGAACTGATGAAAAGGAAATAAAACAAAGATTTGCCAGTCGTTGTCCTTGAGGAACATTTTCCAGAGAGTGAAACACTATTGCCAGGATGTCTTAAGTGAGGACCTCAGTGTAGAGGCCTTTCCAAACCCACGGGGCCCAGATATTTTCCTTGTTTGACTTTGAGAGCCGAGGCACCCCCTGGCTCACAATCCCTGGAGCCAAACACTGGATTAGCTGTAGCTCCTGCTGATTTGGCCCTGACCCCCCGGGCTGTGTGAATTCAGTGCTGCCTGTACAGGCTGCGGCTCTCCGTCTGTCCAGCGTGCATTTGTTCTGGCCCATGGTGAGCAAGCAGAGGGGGATGAAATATGTGGAGCCAGGCAGGCAGCTATGGAAGAAGTCAGGGGATTGATGGGAACTCAGCTTCAGAGCTCATTGGGAAAACTCACACCCCATTGGAGCTGGGATGGATTGCCTGAAATCTCTCATTTTCGGTTTGACTCAGAGCAGCCGCCTGCTGTGTTCTCTGGAAGCTCCTACGGAGAGGAAATTGCTCACAAGGTCAGAGAAGATCTAAATTTCTTTGTGGGTCACTTCAGGCCTTCTTTCCAGAAGTAAACAGTCTGCGTCTAGAAAGCGGGTGGCCCTCGGGTGGCCTTCTATAGCCTACTCCATTTTTCTTCTTTCTCTGTATGGCCTCCTCCCTACCTCTCTCTTCTTTTTACTCTCGGCTAAATGGCTTTCTCCTCTGTTTTTCTCCTCCGTTTGTGCATTGTGTGGAATATGGTCGGTCCCAGAAGATTTTATGCTGTCAAAAGAATAGGGAATCTCCGTGGAGTCAAGGTTCCTGAGGATGGCTAAGATAATTCATTCTGTTCATTGCTTTAACAAGCACCTAGGCACACGTGACTGTGCTATCTCCTTCCCCAGGAAAACAATTCTGGAGGGCCTCGCCCCCGTCCAGCCTCCTGGGGTGTCACATGAGATAGCTCTCTAAGCAGTGCATTTGCTAAGTGCTTGGGCGGGAAGGAGCCCAAGTGCAGGCAGGCCCTGTGACTGGGCCTAAGCTTGAGTCCCAGCCGTGCCATTTGGGGCTGCGCTTCTTGGCCAAGTAATTTCCTCTTTTGAAGTCAGTACTCACTTCTCTAGGTTGTAGACAGATTCAGAAGTAACTGGAGTGTTGAAAGCGCTCCCTAAGACAGAAAGTTCCTGACAACTCTTCGTGTTGCTACAGGGTCCCATGAGAAGTAAAATAAACAAGACTCCATTTTAGGGGTTTACAGAACAAAAGGGAAGACAACAGAAGCATGTCTGCAAGGCAGCAAGAACTCTACAGCAACGGCTCCAACAGAAGGGGCTCTTTCTGGGTAGTTGAGACTATTCAGGAAAACTCTTGGAAGAGAACATACACACTTGGAC